AACTTTTTACCCACAAAAGACCAGAAATAATAACAAAACCCAAAGATTAAGAAAAAGTATAGGAAACTAATCAAAGTTTTCAGAGCAGAAATGAAGATCCAGCGCAATACCACGCACTTAACAGCTAAATAGTTTCGTTGTCTGAATCAAATAAAAAAAATGGAAAGTAAACGACATAAGAGAGTAAACGATGATAGAGCATCATAATGAAAACACAAGGGTGGCGAGTAATGGACAAAACCTCGACCTCAAACGGTACTCGAACCCGTACTTTTGGGCTATCCTTATACTACAATTAATTACATGAGACAGAATGTTATCCAGGTTGTTGTTGTTATTTGCCAGGTAATTTGTATTTTCGTCGTATAAGACCCCACCTCTTCTCTATTTAGCAGCTCAGCCCGAGCCTTCTTCTCTGATCTCTGCATTAGTTTTCGCTTTTTCATCGCAAACTTCTCCTTGTGGAAAGCGCTTCGCATGTTTTCCGGATTGAGAGCCGACACACCTCAAAAGTCCTGCACGATAAAGAGATTACAACAGCACTGCACCGTAGTGGCTTACCTGTGTCATGTTTTGCCACGCGTGAATCATCCAAAGGGACAGCCTCGATCTTTTTAATTTCAGAGTCTCTAAAAATTAGGAAAATTTAATGTCGAGCATTTCACATTATTTAACTTTTCCATAGGCGTAGTCAAAATCGACGGAACGGAATGCGGAAAAACATTTTTGAGAGTAATCTATCGGTCTGGAACTCGGCTAAGGTTTTTGCTGCGCGGCTGTACTCATTTAAAGTTCGTTCTTTCATTCGTACGTCTAGCTCGGCGCTAGAGCTTTTTGGTAAATCATCCAGAACTGGAAAAAATTCTCACATAGCTGGATGACTCGCCTTTATGATCGGTAAACTAGCTCCGCCGTCTTTTGTCTAACGCAATCTATTTGCTTTGCACTGATTAATTTCAACCAGTTTACTGCATGGTACGCTTAGCATGGCATCGCCACCTCGAGTAAGAAAGTGCGGTGAGCGAGTTGGTACTATTCTACCCTAACAATCGTAAAGATAACGTGGGTACAGACATTTCAAATGGATCGAAGGCCAATCAGCCTCACTACTTACCTTAGAGAGGAACCAAGAGTTGCGATTGAATGGTCGTACTCCCTTTTCTTCGGAAATGTTCCACGTTTAGCCGTTTTCCTTTCATTTTCCTCCGGTTTCTGCTCAACCTTCACATCATCCATGTTCCCGCTACCTCTACTGTCCGTAAGGGACAGTGCAACTGAGTTCACTGGAAACCTTCAACACTCTAATATGCAAACTATCGAATATACCGATGATATTGACTCCTTTAAAAAGAATGGGTCAGCCAAATATGAATAACTCAGTATCTCAGCTGCTAAACTTCGCATATAGCACATATTCGTTCATAAATATACGTTTATTAAATCAAAACGAATATACCTAAGTCAGTGCAAATTACGCAGATTCAGTACAATCCACATTGAAAGAAAGAAAACTCGTGATCACAGCTCGCATACCTACTTTCTTTGTATAAAGAATGCACAAAAATAACGCGAAAATAGGCTCATTAGATTATTCTGGTCATGTGCACACTCTGAAACGACCATTCATAATATTAGGGTGTCATTCAGTAAGTCTAGGCGATTAACTACAAGGTAGAAAGGATAGAGAATCAACTTTAATTAATGACAGAATTCCCCTTGAGCTGTGTAACACCCAGCAGAAGACCGTAATAAGACACAACAGATGATATACATTACGAAGTTAACAATGATCCAGTAGACCAGAACGAAACCGGGCAGACATAGCAAGAATGACAGTGTAAACAAAAGAAGCGACTACTGACTTCAAATGAACA